CTAGCTGACGGTTTAGCTAAACAAGGGGCAGAAAGGGATTCATTGTTTTGGGCTAAGCTGTAACGTTAGTGTCTTTTTCTTTTTTCCTTTCTTGAAGCTTTTTGTGACTCTTGGAAGATAAGTGTGTTTGTCTTCCACTTGTAAATTTTCTACAGATGAATTAATGAAAGTGTTATTGATAAAAAAAAACAAATTGTGTATATATATGGATTTATCAAAAAAATTTGTGTGTATATATGGATTACTTTCTTTTTGATTCTGTAGTAATTGCTTGTAAGCTGACAGGTACTATGACAACCCAAAGCATTTGGAAGAATTGGGGGGTATAGATATTGGAAAATATGTGGCAAGTTCTATTGTAGTTTTCAATCTTGATACAAGGCAAGTCAAATGGACCGCAGAACTAGATCTAAGTACAGATACTGGAAATTTCCGTGCGTACATATATTCCTCACCAACTGTGGTTGATTTGGATGGAGACGGGAATTTGGACATTCTTGTTGGAACTTCCTATGGCTTATTTTATGTTCTGGATCATCATGGTAATTTTTAATGTTATATGGATGTTATTATTGCTTGTAGTGTCATTGTGCACTTAAATATGATCATGTCAAATCAATTTTTCATTCCTACTGCAGATTTTGCAGATTCATGTTGATTGTTATACTTTATGAAATAGGTTGTTCCATTAGAGTTGTTTATGTAACCTGCTCTTGTCTAGAAGTTCTTGGTGATTGTTTATCTGATTCCCAGTTTTAACCATTTGATTGTTGGCATGCTAGACAAATTTTCAGTTTATAAAAGCCTTGATCCATGCATTTACTCGGGCTTGGTATAATGGATCTTTCATACACAATATTGTCACAAGTACTTATTTGACTTGGCTTGGGACTTTCTAATTTATGGTACATGATTCTGGTTGAAATCCATTGGCTTGCTAGAGAATCCATCTTTTCTCTCAGTTTTCCCCTTAGAGTATGTTTGGTTGCCGCAACCGGGATGAGAAAATAGGAATATTCGCATAAGATTCCTATTTTCTCTCATTTGTTTTGGTTGAAGCAATGGGATGGGATGAGAACTCACATCCCAAAAGTAGAGACATGGGGTCTCACCAGATAGGTGTGACCCCGCTGAGAAACGAAAACAATGAGAAGTGGGTGAGAAAAAATGTCGAAGGTGACATCTCCATTCACCTCCAACCACTGTCGAAGGCGTCATCTCCATTCGCATGTCCCTACGATCAAATTCCAACCAATGTTTTCTTCACCTCTAACGATTCTAAGACCTCATTCACCATCTCCATCTCCATCTCCATTTCACATTTTTGAGCCATTTTGTATTTTTTTTTCTCTGAAAACTCAATATCTTTTATCTTCCAAGTCGAGCTTCAGACCCTATCGATAGGGTGTTTCATCTCCAGTGAAGTTAAGACATGGAGTCTCCTCCTTTTCTTTCATTGAACCTTTTCTTTTTGTATTTTTTTTTTCTCAAAAACCTCATTGTTTTTCTTCCTAGAAGCTTCAGAACCCCAACTGCCAAAGAGTCCAATCACTGTTTTTCATCTCCAACGAAGGTAAGACCTATCCATGCTCCGTTTCTCTCCGGTAAACTTTTTTTTTTTTTTTGTATTTTTCTCTAAAATGTAGATCTGCTTAAACCTCTGTTCTCATTGTTGCAGATCTAACAAGTTTGTAATTTTTTTCATGATATATTGGTTAGATTTCTTAGGCATTCCTGATTTCTTGGCCATCACCATTGTTGCAGATATGCTAAAACCTCTATTGCAGATTTGTTATCATTGAACCTCTGCTATCAAGTAGAACAATTTATTGTTGCAGATCTAAACCTTGCTAAACTTCTGTCATCATCATTGATAATGGTTGAAGGGGAATATAGAAGACAACCATGGGTGTTCATGTTCCACCGTTGTTAATGGTTGAAGGGGCATGAAATCAAGCATCTTGCAAAATTTTCTCAACAATCAAACACTGGAAAACAAAATTTTCAGAATAATTGGTCTCAGCAACCAAACATAGGTTGCCAAAATGAGAAAATAAAATTTCCTTTCTCATCCCATCCCTTCTCATCCCAGTATTTCTCCGCAACCAAACGGACCCTTATATTCTGCACCTTTCTGAGAACAACATTCAGGGTGATAGGAATTTCTTAAATGATGTAAACCATTGATTTTCTAGTTCTTTGTTGTTTTTGTTGCATTAACATTTTGTAGTTGCTATGAATTGGCTGCATACTGCATTACAACCTTAGGGCAAATGTTATTTGGCTTCTGTGAAGTGTTTAAAGATAGGAGAAAACTGACTCCAGATGAAATGGTGAAATATAAAGCTCAATGAACCCCTATAATCTTAGGTTAAAATTTTCCATTTTTGAATGATTCTCTAGGCTTACCCCTACTCTGCTACATAACTTTGTTATACATGAAGCAAGTTTCATCATAAGCTATTCTCTCTCTCTCTCATATTATTTAATGTGTCATAGATATTAAAAATGTCCAGTCATTCTGTGCATTTCTTTTTTTCTCAAGTTTCAACTATATAGGCTTATGTTTAACCTACCTTAATATACTGACTAAGAAATGCCAATTGGAACTACTTAGGGTGGATTGTTCATCTGTGACAAATATAACCTTTATTGTTGGTTAATAAATTGAAAACATTTTCTTTTTGACAAAAATTTTTTACAATTCATTCAAGTTTAATGTGGCTTAGAGTTTCAGTTAAAAAAATAGGCATTATCTAAAGTTTCTAGTTGTGCCCTTAACTGTTGTAACATGTCCTAGATACTGTCATAAATCGCTGAATTTTTGTATTATTAGTGTGTGCCAAGTATGGTTCAAACTTCAAAGGAGTCGAAGAGAAATAGAGAAAATGTAAGGATGTTTGGAAATAGGTAATAATCTAAAAGAGGCTGTTGACCCTGTAGGAAGAACTTGATTTGAAAATTTCCATGGTTAACATACATGAATGACATGGAAGGGAGTGCATATAGGTTTTCATCTTGTCACAGGAGAGGGGGAGTGTAATGGGAGAAAATGTAGGAGAGAAATATTAACTACAATAGAAGTCCATGTAACATTTTACTAAGTGACATTTAACTTTTTTCTTGTTAATTTAAACATTTAATACATGGAACATGATAGTTTCTGAAATTCCAGTTTAATGTGAGCTAAGGTCTATATACCTGTGCACAAATAGAAGAATGATACACACTGGCTGTAGGGGTGATTGTGGGCCAGGCTGGGCTTTAGCACCTATGATAAGGGTTATAGCCCAGGCTCGGGCCCAGACTTTGGTTCTAAAGTATAAGCCTGGGCCCAGGTCTGTTTGGGCTGGGTTTGGGTCTATGGCATTAAATATTGAAAGCTTAATTATTTATGAAGTTTTAAATTATATGTTGTGTAATACTTGAGAAAAAAAATATTGTGTGGGCCCAAGTTGGACCAGACTTGGCCTGGCTTTGGGCCTATGACATCATAGTTGTCAAGGCGACGCCTAGGCGACAAGGTGCCCTTTGAGGCTCGCCTCGCCTTATTGCCAAGCAGTTTTGTACTTTCTATTATAAAATACTTTTTTATTCTTTATTTTTTGACATTATAATTAGAAAATAGACATTATTAAACTAAAAATATTCATTTTGTGTGTTTATATACTAATTTCTTTTTATTATTTTCTTATTTGTTAGGGTTTAATCAACACAAACACTGCTAAATGCTGTATTGAACCCTCAAAGACTTTCAAAACCTGAACCAATAAGTAGTAGTAGTAGTAGCTACTAATTTTCTTTTCCTTCTTTTTCTTCTCATGAATATGTTGCTTTTCTATACTTCAACATGAACTCTATACTTTTCTGATGAAACTTATGAATAATTATTAAGGAAATATGGTTATGGTACCTAGGGAATTACCCTAGGATCTATGTTTTATACATAAAAAATCCATCGCCTAGGTGACAAGGCGCCCCCCCCCTGTCGCCTAGCCTTGCCTTGGCGCCTTGAAAACTATGTATGACAAAAAAAAGGGAATGGGCTTCAACACATGGTTGTCTATCCTTATATAGATGAAGGCAAAGGCCTTCATTCTAACTTCTAGGCAAAATTGTGTCCGGATTGAGGATATGAAAGTGCAATATTTGCTATTCCCCTCCTGTTTGTTACCTTTTAATTGGGAATGCTCATTGCTTTTTGTATCTTTAGCTATTTCAAACAGGAGCAATGTGCAGTGGCTGTGTATTTGTCAAGATTTGATTGTCTTATGCAAACTAGCTTGAGCCTAATACCTATAAAATCAACCCAGGCAAGGTGAGACAAAAGTTTCCTCTTGAGATGGCTGAAATTCAGGGAGCTGTAGTTGCAGCAGATATCAATGATGACGGCAAAATTGAGCTGGTTACAACTGATACACACGGAAATGTTGCTGCTTGGACTGCACAAGGTGAAGAAATTTGGGAGACACATTTAAAAAGTCTTGTGCCACAGGTAAATTCTGTATAGGCAACTTCTTTTATTATTTAAAATTTAGGGCACCTATCTCAAATTTGGGGATATGGGGCTACACAACAGGGGGTACCCTGTCCCCTACTCCCATAACCCCCAACCCTGGTGACAGTGGGATTTGATCCCAAGTCTCAGCTATAACCAGCCAGAGAACTTACGAATTGAGACACCATGTGGGTTGACATATAATACTGTGTGTGACATATTGTCTTGTTATCTTATTGTTTTTCCCATTCATGTAAGATCTTGATCTCTAGACTTTTTTTTTTTTTTTTTGATAAATGACCTCTAGAATTTTTTTTTCTTATAGATTAATGATCATAAAGATGAGGATGTCAATAGTCTATTGTTTTTTGTAAAAATCTCAAATATCAGGTAAACTAAACTTTTTCAGTGATTCGTTCTATGAAGGTTTTAATATAAACTTGTAGGATTTCACAGTTGATTTCATATGAAAGTTCTCTGTGAAGGATATTCTAGTCCTTCTGCTAGTGTTGCTAATTTCAACTAAGTGGACTTGGAGGTTAGAATCATATTATTGTTGTGGTTTTTAAATGCGCAATTGCATTTGGATTTGACCTAGATTCCCTGTTATTAATGCCATTCATGCTTTCTACCTAACCTTGGTGATTTCATGGAATTGGAGAATTTAGGAACTGTTGCTGGTATCTTTGTTCACTAATATTATGTTACTGTGCAAGTAGAATTTAGGAACTGTTACTTTCTGAGACGGTAATACTGTCAGGCACCAATGTAACAGGTCACCTTTAATTTAAATACAACTCTCTTCATTTTATGGGAATTAGATGAATTCACAAGAGAACAAAGTTACATTTCAAGGTAGTATGTAGTTATGTTAATTTTGCTTGACTGCCGTCTTGATTTTTTGTTTTATCTTTTCTACTTTTCCTTTCTTTTGGGACATGCATTGCTTTGATGATCAATTGATAAATTATTTATCAACACGTCAATCAGGGTCCAACAATTGGTGACGTTGATGGAGATGGTCACACTGATGTTGTGGTTCCAACACTATCAGGGAACATATATGTTCTCAGTGGTAAGGATGGGTCACCAGTCCGTCCATATCCGTACCGCACTCACGGGAGAGTGATGAATCAAGTTCTTTTGGTTGATCTAACTAAACGGGGAGAGAAGCAGAAGGGACTCACTCTTGTTACAACATCATTTGATGGTTACTTGTACCTTATTGATGGGCCCACATCTTGTGCTGATGTTGTTGATATTGGCGAGACTTCGTAAGATGTGCTTAATCCTTTCATGCTATAACATAATAAAAAGAAGTGGAAATAGAAAAGTGAAAGAGAACTCTAAAATTGTCTTTTGCTTTTTCTGTTATTTTCAAAATGTATCTTATTTTAAATCTTTATGCAACAGATATAGCATGGTCTTGGCAGACAATGTTGATGGTGGAGATGATCTTGATCTCATTGTTACAACCATGAATGGAAACGTCTTCTGCTTCTCAACTCCTGCACCTCATCATCCCCTCAAGGCAGGATAAAATTTTCAATTCAACTTGTTATTATTACTGGATTTTCCCCTTGAGTTTTGTTTTGAATCTTTCTATTTATTTTCTTCAGGCGTGGAGATCACCTAATCAGGGAATGAACAATATTGCAAACCAGTACAGCCGTGAAGGAGTCTATGCTTCGCATACATCTAGAGCTTTCCGTGATGAAGAAGGCAAGAACTTCTGGGTAGAGATAGAGATTATAGACAGATACAGGTTTCCATCAGGGTCTCAAGCGCCTTATAATGTCACTGTAAGCACTTCCTGAAGCAATACCACTACAAAATATGTTTTAAAGTTACTCATCACGAAAATATAATTTAATTGTTATTATCTGCTTTTATTTCAAAAATAATGCAGACAACCTTATTGGTCCCTGGAAACTACCAAGGAGAGAGGCGGATAACAATCAACCAGGTTTTTTATCAACCTGGAAAATATCGAATAAAGCTTCCTACAGTGAACGTAAGGACAACTGGCACAGTTTTGGTGGAGATGGTTGATAAGAATGGACTCTACTTCTCAGATGAATTTTCCCTCACCTTCCATATGCATTTCTACAAATTGCTGAAGTGGCTTCTGGTTCTTCCAATGCTTGGGATGTTTGGTGTGCTTGTTATACTCCGTCCTCAGGAATCCATGCCATTGCCATCTTTCTCACGGAACACTGACCTATGATATGCTAGAGTGGAAGCTGAACCACAAATTGATTCCAGAAGCTAAGAAATGTTCTTTGACCAAGTGCCATTACAGCTGAGGGTTTGTGCTACTTGCTGGGCCTTGATGCAAGTTCACTAACAACCTAGTGAATGGTTCCTAAGTTAACCAACGTCGCAGATGGTATGGTGTTGCCTGCTACTGGGGCAATTCACAAAATGGGAGGTTAGTAAACTTGGTTCTTGGTTGAGACTAAAATAGTTCTCAGATCTCATTGTCCTGATCATCCTTTCTACACCCAATCCCATAGGAATATCAATGAAACAAGTAGATATTTTGTTTTTAGCTACTTGTCTTTGTTCCTTAAAGGTCATTGACAACTTGTTCAGTAAGAGCATTTTAGTTGGGGATTTTTTTTACCGCTTGGGTAAGGCCCTGTTTGGCATCAATTCTGAAAAGTTTGATTCTCATAATACTTTCAGAGAAGAATGGATTATGAGAATTCTCATCTTCAGAATTTGCAGCAGTGTTTGGCACATTCATCTAATTCTTGTTTCTTGGAATCAAAATTCTTATACATAAGTGAACTTCAAACTACTCTACTATGTTTAAATCAATCTATTTTTGAGTTCTATCCAAATCCATATGGGAATAGAAATTGGATCTAACATAACCAATCCAACCCTCCCCCTTTTACATCCATACATGAGAATCACAAACACTAGACTTTTCAAAAAATAAAGAATAAATCAAGGGAATAAATGTCTAACAAGGAGTTCAGATCTGCTCACAGAGCGCACCTCACACCGACTTTTCAGCACGTTCCAGCCATGCATTGGGAACATCCCCCAATGAATAAAAATTTACAATTTCTAAGATGATCCAGATGCACAGCTGAAATGAGTTTCCTGTGCTTGCTTACATATAGGGCATGTAGTATCCACTCGAAAACTAACAGTGACCCGGTATGTGGTTTTAAACCACCATCCCTAAAAGTGTTTACCAAATTGGTCAAATCCTTTCTCGTATCATGTCTCCTCGGCATCATAGATTTTCCCCTCCGTTACAGTGTTTTTTTTTAGATTTTTTTTTTCCGGATTATTAATCTTCTATTGAGGCAATGGATATTGGTACCCATGAGCCATGATCTCTACATGAGCCACATGTAAATTATGGAGCACCGACAGTTCTTGGACACCGTGACTTAAGATTAAAGATCCTGTCTACTGTCTAGAAGAATCATGGTCATATAATGGGTATAAGGTTAAGATTAAAAAACTGGGTATTTCCACCGGGGAGTTTTGTGAATTCAGACTTTCTTTTATTGATTCATGCGAGCCCCTATTGAAACTCGAAACATGGCATTTTGTTTTTACCTACACTTTGGGGCCTTTGGGATAGCCTCACTTTAGGACCCAAACTTTCGAATACGCCACTTTAGTACTTTAACTCATAGAATTTAGAAAGATACATCCATTAAACAAACATTGCAGTGAGGGGTAAAATTATAAAAGTGCCCATATTCTGACTTTTTTTTCACTATTCATCTTTCGTTTACCGTTGGACTCTGGATGGTAGATGTAAACCAACAGCAGAAAAGTAAGTGTCCAAAAGTGATACTACCTTCAATGATCAGTCCGGGGTGAACTTACTTTGCCACCACTGGTTTGAGTCCAAAGTCCAAAAGTAGAAGATAAATAGTGAAAAAAGAGAAACAGAAGGCATTTTTATAATTTTACCCCTCACTGCAAAGTTAGTTTAACGGAGTTGGACTTCAATGCATATTTACCTCACACTGCAATGTTAGTTTAACGGAATTGAACTTCAATGCAGATTTCTGGAAATTCAAATACTAAAGTGGCAAATTTGAAAGTCCACACCATAAGTGAGACTACCCCCAAAGTACAGTATACCTATGTGTAATTTAAGTCTTATCATAAGAGATCAGGTGGTGTGCGGTTTGCCCCAAAAATGAGATATATGAAACATAATTTGTCATAGGCGCAGAAAACGTTTTTTGTGAAGGTGCATAGAAACATAGTTGAAGCATAGCAAAAAGAAGAGGTCAAATTGCAAAAACAAGGCACGCGCACACTTTGCGTTTGGTTCCTTGAGTCATGGTTCTTAGTTAATTGATGCTGGGATGCTTTGTATAGATATTTGCCAATTTTGAAATTTTGCTACATGGGAACCTAATCATGGTGCACAGGATGACAACTGTCAACAAAACTTTGTATAGATATCTGACTTGCCTTTTCTTTGCTGGAAAAATATTTTTATTTGGTAAGCAGTTTCAAACTAAATTTACAACTTAAGATGAATAAATTTGGACATCCCCTTGCTGCTTCTTTTAATGGATTTAGGGGTACTGACCAGGGTTTAAATCTTGGAAACAACCTTTCTGTGTATCGGTCGGCGTAAGGCTTTGTACATTTGTCCTTACCCATACCCTGCATTGGCGGGAGCCTGATGCACTGGGCTGTGATTTTTACAGTATGTGGAGAAATGGAAGGAAACTATGGAGGAAGACATAAAGTTTCAATAGATTCTTGCATCAATGGAGGTTACATAATTTTTGGGTGACAAGGATTTTGGTCAACTTAAGCTCCTTAAAAGTAATTTTTTTAGTTTGTTGAGGCCATATCAATGGGATTAATCATCTTAAATGGTCAAATTAGTTTAAAAGATTTATTAGAGAGGTTTTATGATTTTGAAAATTTGATGTTGCAATCATGTTACTCTTCTTTCTTTCAGCCTATTTTTCAGGGGTCAAAGCTTGTTTATTTACTTGACTTTAGTATCATTGGATAGCTTATTTAGTTATCTATCCAACGAATCTAGATCTTGTAAATATTACAAGTTTTGAGAGAGTTATGGCCATTGTACTAATAGGGTGTTAGACTTCTGACAAATATTGAAGTCTTTTCTAAATTCTTGGTCTATTTTGGAATTGCTTTTGGTTTCTCTACTTGTATGATTAGTACTTTAGTAGCGAGTGTTTAGGATGCAATTCCTTGAAGTGTCCCTATAGGCTATAGGTTAGTCATAGATATGCTTTAGTTTTAAAGCAACTATAAATTGTATATGGTCAACTTTTCAGTCTAAATTGGAGTCTATAAAGGGTGACCTGAGCCTTGATGTTGGGTCTATAAATAGTCATTGTAATTGAATTTTTGAAATAGAATTAATGGGAAGTCTGAAGTTTGTACAGTGACAAGGATTGGTATTCTTGAAGTTCTCTATTTTCTGCTATGTTTTTTTTTTTATAAATTATTTTCTGCTATCTTTCATATCTGAAACCCTTCCATTTCTCCTTTATTTCCCCCATATCAGATTTGGTTCTTTCTTTATGCACCACATATACCCAATTAGGACTTCTCCCCTTCCCATTTTACATCAGATAGATGAGAAGATAAGTAGTAAGCTTATAAGGTTTTCTTGACAATTCATTTTTTATATTGCAACATAATTCTATGGAGGAAGCCTTTTAGTTTGATTATTTACCTCCTAATTTTGGTTTAGCTGTTTTTTCAATGATTAAAGGGTTTTCAATATTTTTTATGGTATAATTTTTGGAAATTATTTTGCTGTTGTGGAATAACTGAAAATAGGCTTCTTATGTTCATATTTCATATCTAGCCAACAAATTTTCCCCCTTTATTGTTTTAACAGTTTTCCATTTCAATGAACTGTGGCATTCCATGGTTGGTTCTATTATGCAGAAGAACTAGGATTTATTAAGTGGAAAGCAGAAGTATGAAGAATTGACCAAAAGGGGTGTCAAACTTCCTTTTTGTATAGTAATAATAATAATATTTTCTATCAACTGAACAATTCCAAACAATTTTGCATTTAAAATCTACCTACTCCTTTGGTCTTTGGCATTACTTATTTCAGAGAGCTAAAATCACATTAAAAATGAAATCAAATTATTTCTGTGCCCCAATTCCGCCACGTCACACTCTGCTAACAACTATAGAGAGTATACGGACAAGGATTCAATAATGAAAGATCACCATAATTTAGCTTGGCCATGCAACTTGGAGGTTCTTTCTCCCTAGAGGTTTCTTCCAATACATTCTGCTAATTGCCACTTCCTTAACTCAAATTTTCACTGACCCAGCAAAGAAACACGGTTCTCATACCTCAAAATTATTTGCAGATAAAGGCACATTCTAGTAGCATCATCTTACACCTCACCAGAAGAAATCAGTACCCCTTAACCTTCAAATACCCCAATAAACGGAAGATGGTGGTATATATACCATAATGACCATCTGCTCACCATTGAAATAAAGAGTATAAATCTGCTCCATGCCAAAAAGTGATAAATGATACCAAATCGTGCTTATTGATATCACATCCATACTCAGTTTGCTTCCATAACAAATTATATATACATCCGAACAAGCAAAAAAATTGGTCTAAGATTGATCCTACCTCAAAAGTATTCCATCTGAAAACTAGGCACCATTGAGACACACCTTTACTGGCAAATTAAAGAACAAGATACAGGTGGTCTTCCCAAATTCAAATTCATGTACACATTTTAATCTTATAAATGAAGCCCCTTTTTTATACTGACCTAGTCCATAAACTAGAAAATTTAACAGGTTGTGATGGAGAAGATTCATCACCCCAAATTTAATGGTAGACTAATCTGGTCAAATTGTAAGGAGTTGTTACTCACTTTTAGTCCTACACTCCTCTATCAGATATTCCATAAACAATATTTTTTTTCCTCATACAGAAGAGAGCATCTATTTTATCAAAGAAGTGCCATACATCAAGATTACACAGGAAATAACAAAACACTTCATGGAAACATCAAGGCATACGGCACATTCAAAGACGAGTTCTCAAAGCAATTCTACTATCATTTCTATAACTTCTAAATTTTGCTTGAAAGTTTATATGACCACACTAATCTATAACCACAACAATTGCAAACAGAATCCTTCACACAGAAAGAAAGAAACAATAACAAATGCATATAAAGTCCACTTGCACCTAACTTTGCCTTGATTATTCGAATACAAGGGTCTCTACAGAAATGCAAGAGCAGAGAACAAAAGGTTTGGAAACAAAATTAACAATAAACAAACATTCTTAATTTAGCTCATTGGGCTTAAGACCAATTCAGAGATTTTACAAGAGTAATGCGCTTACAAGGTTACAACATTCTGAAATTGCTTGAATTTATAGACAACCAGAGAAGCCAAAGTTTCCTTAGTTTTCCTCGATGATAAGGCAAAGCAAACTGGATACAGAAACCATCAAACCTTGTCTATATGCTCTTAAATTTGTACTGTGTTCAATGCAACGAATCCAACTCATAAGATTTTGAACGATCTAAAACAAAACAGTTGTGCTGCAAGAAAAATATCCAACCCAGAAACGATTATAGCAGAACTTGCTTACAGAGTCTGTACAATCTAGCATAAAGCTTAGGCTTAGTACTACAGATTCAGGCATTGAGCACATGCAACAACACGGAATCATTTGAGAAAAAGAGGAATTCAAAGCATATAGAGTTCTGATACAGCTGAAATCACTTCAAAATACAACAACAAGAGGATCAAAAGACCTGCAATACCGGCCTCTTTTCGAGTTTCTTGATCTCCTTGTCCATCCGCCCAGTGAGCATCAACCCAAACATCTTGAAATCACATAAAAGAGACCAAAGCGGATGCCCGTATGTTGCGGGAATGTTACCATCGACAAAGAAATGGCTGTACCAGGCAAAGCCATAGCCAAAGAATGGCACAAAGAACAGAAGCCACCAGTTGAATAGGATTGAAGAAATCAAGAAGAGAAGACCTGTAAGCGTGCCTAGAAAATGCCAACGCCTTGTCGATGGTTTCGAGTGTTGGTTGACATAGAAGGGCCAAAACTCTTCCAGGCTTCTGAAGTTCATATCTTCTTTTTCCTTTTAAGGAAAATAAAGGACCCAAATGCAGGTTTTTCTGTATCGTTTGGTGTTCCTCAAAATCCAGGAACTCAGAATTGCTCGAGTCTGGTTAATGACAAGTGATGAAGGAAGATTTGGCCCGAACTCACAAATCACGGCACGTGGCAAAAAAGGCAAGCAACTCGGCACTCAAGACAGCATACCGAAGGTACAAACGCCAAAGGGAAGGGACCAGCAGGCCCGAGCTCTCTACTCAGAGCACGAACTCCCTAGCAAGAAGCCCGAGCTCCCTACTCAGTGCCCGAGCTCCCTACTTAGAGCTCGAACTCCCTAGCAAGAGGCCCGAGCTCCCTACT